GTACATACAAGCTCATCAACAGCAGGTTCAGCCTTGTTACAGCCTTCAAATATAACACAGACTTCAAGTTCCCACAGTGCACTTACCTACCAAGTAACTGCTGCCAATTCTGCAACAACTCAGGTTCTGTTTGGGAACAACATTAGATTAACTGTACCCTCATCTGTTGGCACTGCAAACTCTATTAATACGCTCAATGCACGGCACATACCTAGGACTCTAAGTGCTGTTCCATCATCTGCCTTAAAGCTGGCTGCAGCAAACTGTCAGGTGCCCAAGGTGCCAGCCTCATCCTCTGTGGACACAATACCAAGGTAGGTACTTTGTCTTGTTGAATTGTTAAAGTTGAAAAAGAAAAGTTTTATGGATATCTAAATAAAGTAGTATCAGTAGAAAATTCTTTCAAATGGTCTCTAATTTCTGCATTAAAGTCTTCGTGAAAATGGAAGCTCTATCATTAGAAACATTGAATAATTTGTGATAAAAATTTATATCAAAAGTGGGAGAGACTACTTTTGTAAAATTTTATTTTCAAAAGAAAAAGGGCCTTTCTGATGCTTCCGAATAATAAACACCAAGAAAGTCTAATTAATTCACAGCTTCCTAATTTTATTTGTTTTCATTTAGTAAAATTTGAACCTACTAATCATTTATTGTAAAGGATTATAAAGATCTCACTTTTTATCTTATTCTCTTTTTGTTTTTTGTTTTTCTATTTTTGTTGTATATTTGGGTACCCCAAGTATATTAATACCTCCAACTTGGAAATGTGTATGTAGTAATACTTGCAACATTAAGGCTGATGTGTTCAAGCTCTGAAAATAATAATGCATGTGACCAAATTATCCCCTTTCATTCCACCTCACCCCGTCTTTTTTTTCCTCAAAATTGAAATCAGTGTGCTGTAATCATTAACTTGTTGGAATAGCTCCAAAGAGACTCAGAACATCCTTGGCCATGGGAGTTTTCCCAGGAGGTTGTTTTTTCACATGGAGGTTGTTTTGCAAAAATATGAGAACATGGAGTGCTATGGATACCACCTTCAGCTCCTGAACAAAAGACAGGATATAAATCAGAGAAATGATTAAATAATAAGATAGGATATTACCTAGAAATTCTAGGGCTGTAGATAGGAACTCAAATGAAAAATTCCAGATTTCTCCATTGATTTCTTCAAGAGATCTTCAGAATTCAGGATTTACTCAAAGAATCCTACATTTGTCTTTTGATCAATTTTATTGATTTTGTCATTATTGCCCCATTGGGAGTTAGAGGGGATGGCATTGGATTGGTTATATCCAATCCTAGCTACATTAAATATGGAGGTAGTGTACTTTTTTTGGAGATGTTTAGGAATATGTTGAATCGACCATTTAAAAAAATAAATTTATTATTAAATACTTATCTCAGATTAGTAGTACTTCAGTTTGAAGGGTAACTGGTTTATTTTTCCACAGTGTTTACATAAGTAGACAACACAGATTTGAAATTGGAAAGAAATACATTATTACATTACACTGAAGTTCCAAAGATGTAAAATAAGCACTTTTACAATGTTTTTAAGTGTGGCTTTTTCCAATTTAGTACTCAACCAATGTATTTGTGTTCTCTCTGTTTTTATTTTTCAGGGAAAACCATGAAACAGAAAAGTCAGCACTGAACAATATAGCAGACAATACANGCCGAACAATACCAGCATCATCAACAACAACTGGCACTAATGCAGAAGCAACAGCTTGCACAAATTCATCAACAGCAAGCAAATAGTAATTCTGCGAACGCCTCACAGGTGAGGGAATTGCCTGTATTATGATTTATTCCTCATTTTTTTCCACCAGGGGTCATCTCTAATTTTCAACTGTTGCCATAACATCTTGCAACTAACCAACAGAAAAATGGCTTTCGCTTGAATCTTCACCTTAGCCATACGCTAGTGTTTAGAAGTGATGCTACAGGTGAGTATAGATGGCACTATTGCTGCCCCTTGTAACAGAAAAAGAGGTGATTCAGCATTGTAAATATGCAGCAGAGGAAAACAAGAATTGTCTGGTTGATGTCAACATCACAATATTGAATGTGTATTCCAAAGGAATAGAACTTGCATTAGTGCTGGCTAGTCTTGATGGATACCACTTCTCTTCTCTTAGGATATACTCTAAAGAATTCTGGATAACTCATTAATTTACATTGTATACACTTGAGGAAAAATGAAATTGGGTTTTTAAGCAGATCTTTAGTGCATCCCTTTGTGGCTGTTGCTTCTCTAAGGATTGTGAACTGTTTCTTGCCATACATACTATACTCTGTACCAGGGGTGTCAAACTCCTAGCCCATGAGCTGGATGTGTCACACACTGCCCACGCCCATGCCTAGTTTAGTAAAGGGGGGGGGGAGAAGTCCCAATCTATCACATGATGACATGAGTCTGCTATATACTATAGAGTAGTTTTTAATTTTTAAAAAAAAACAGTCCATACCTAACAGAAACTGGTGACTTTTCCATTCTCTCTTGTTGGGCTCAGCAGTGTATTATTGTGTATGATAATAGCTTGATGTTATTATTTTTTTATCTTTAAAAGGGTTTCAATTCCAAGACATTGGATTCTGTCAGTGCTCAGTTTGCTGCTTCAGCCTTGGTTACATCAGAACAGCTCATGGGATTCAAAATGAAGGATGATGTGGTGCTTGGAATTGGGGTGAATGGCATCCTTCAAGCCTCAGGTAAGAAGTGGTAATGATAGTAGTGTCAAAAAGTATACTTGTGGGTGGGTGGAGGAAGTGTAAGAGAGAGAGAGGTAAATCAATAACATTATTTTCATTGGGTTGACATTTTTTTCTTATTTCACAGG